AACCAGTCACTTCTCTTTTGAGTCTTGTTTTATCGGCATTATTTTCACCCTGAGCAACACAAAAAAACAGACAATTTGAACTTGAGTTTGAATTTGAATGAAAACGGGCTCAGAAAATTCAGTGCAAAGTTTCAAAATCTTTATAAATATCTGAATAGATCCGTTTAAGATCACCTTTACCCGGGAAGTCCATTACAGGTTCTGTTGTTTATCAGCAGCATATGTGATAAATTAATCAGTGAACTTATTTCATTATTTTGGTGGACGTTCAGCTTTGGGCCAAAGAAAGCGCTGAAGCTTTAGTTGTGAATCCGCAACATGTTCTCAGTTGATCAAATGAAAACATTCAGATGAAAAGTTATTGTCGGATTCAATCTTCCCTCTGGTTTCATGCCGTATTTGTTTCCTGTCGTCTTGACTGCAGGGCACCGTTATTTAAATGTTATTTCTTCCAAAGCAGACCGGGAATCGAACCTCTACCCCCCCCTCCTCCCCGCCTGCGGTTTTCGGAGGCAGAAATGTGTCGCGTGTCGCGTGTCGCGGCTGTAATGAGCGGATTAGCAAGTCATTATAGTGGCTTGAGTCAGCAACACTCTGCAATTCATGATGCTGCCGCTGCAAAACAAAATCTCCTTATCCCCTGAAGGGAGAGAAAGCTAATATCCTATATTTAGGTGAGCATTAAGGGCCATTACCCAACAGACAGAGTGCTTTATCCTCTGTTGTTGGGTGGGGGCCTTTTCCTTTTTCTCCCTTTCACAGCCAGCTGTGATGCTTTTATCTGAATGAGGAGAGCTAAAAGCAGGTCAGGCGTGCAGCAGGAAAGTCAAATTTACGACGTGACCTTTAAGGCACCACTGTGATGGCGACGCTGCAGACGGGGGCGGGAGAGTTTGGGGTTTTCGAAGATTAAAAGGCGTGTTTTCTAACCTTTTGTGTTGAGAGATGTATTCATGTTGACCGAAAGCGGCTTCAGTTCGGGTTTGAAAGGCTGGAGATGCTTTTTGTCAGGCTGAGCTAAATCTCTAAAGCCGTTTTCTTCTTCAGGGATTTTCTGTTGACTGGTAGAACAGTGGGAGCCAACAGCACAAAGTGTGTGGTGTTTATGTAGCGCAGTGATGCTCCAAACCAACTCTGATGTTTCACTTTTTTATCATTTAACCGTTTCATGTGTTGGTAGGAAGCAAACTGCTGCTTTCATCCATGCAACACTTCACCTCCCTCATCTCCATGAAGTATTTGATAAACTGGTGTCTTCACACACCAAACGCACAGACATTAACCCATCAACACAACTGAAGTAGCACAGTTTACGGTGCAGAGATACGTCTGAATCGAAGTCATTTTTTAAGCCCAGATTTCAAGAAGAAGACAAAAGCAGCTTCTCATTTTTAGCTGAAATGACAGCTCTCTTTTCATGCGTTTTCCTACAAAATCCAGCAACACATGTTCGTTTCTGCTCGTTACATGAATACAGTCACTTAGGCAACAAAACTACTTAGTTATGTTTTTAAAAAAGGTCGTCATTTGTGTTAAAATAACTGCGGAAGTGCCGTTACTAAATTACGCAAGTTACGTGACAACATTGACTTCTTTTTTTTCACACAGGGAACGAACATCGGTCTCCTCGCTGAAAGATCGTGGTCTGTTGGAACCATCCTACAAAATGAACAAGCTTGTTCAACTTTAAATCATTTGTAACCTGGCTGCCTTAAAATGTTAAGTTAGACAAAGCTAAGAGCTTTAGTTCCTTTAACTTAGAATAAATAGTTGAGGTAACAAAGTTCCATCAACTTTATACTTTAAGTTTAATCAACAAGTTTTTTAGTGATACCAACACGACATTTCAAGTTGAATAAACCTTAATCCTAGTTAAAGCAACATACAATAACTAGTTAAACCAACAAACTTTAGTTGATTTCTTGAGTTGTACAAACATGAAAATAAAAGTTGATTAAAGTTGAATCAATTTATACATTTTAGTTATGCAAACATCATAATACAAGTTGGCTCAACTAAGCATCTTGTTGAATTAACTTATCTTTTTAAGGCAGCCAGGTTACTTTTTAGGAATAGTTCATCTTAACTGCAATGTTAAGTTAATTTAAAAAGTAATTTGCCCACACAACTTAAGCTTCTATTTTTTAACAGTTCTCCATAAAAACGATTCATCAACATCAAGGAACATTCAGAATGCTTCTTTTTTCACTCTGTATACTTCCTCATTCATGATTAAGTGGATAACAATAATAATAATATTATTCCCGCGCATTATTTTTGCGTGGAAATTGCAAAAAAGAGTCCTAATTGACTTTCCATTAGTATTATTTTCGTGCTGAGCTACACAAAAAAACAATTTGCGGTTTTGAACATGAAACCAATTGATTGCATTTCGTGACATTTCCACAAACTGCCAAGATACTGGACTGGTTATGTAGAGTCCCATGCTCTGTGAGGTCAAATGTCTGTCTTTGTCAATGGAGTCTTGTGACTTTGAATAGAGCTAGGGATGCATTAAAAAAACGTCAGACAGATGAAGCCATTATCTTGCTTTCTTCACACCCACCAGACTCAGATTTCTGACCCATTTGCCTGACTGGGCGAGTTTTAACAAACCCCCATTACGACTCAAGGGATCTCTGCTTTGTTGTTGTGTTTCTGCACCAACAAACAGCACTCAGTCTTCTTCTCTTCACGCTCTTCATCACACACACGTCGTCTCACACGTCCTCAGCAGTGTTTGTTTGCTCTGTAGTCTCCGTCTTCACTTGTCAGACTGATGAAGCGGGACTCAAAGCCTCCTGCTCGCTGTGAGTTGCAGCGAATGAGTGTCATCTCAATGCCTCTGATGTAAAAAAATAAATAATAATAAATGAAGAGTTGGGATTGAAAGCAGTTGATGGAGTCGAGTCTGCGATTAGCCGCGGAGCCGCCACAGTGAGCCGCTGGTGGCGGCCGGTGTATCAGCGGGGCCCCGCCGGCTCCGTTAGCTCGCACTTCCTGCAGGAAAGACCCTAATTAATTGTTGTCATCATTTGTTTATTTCTGCCTGTAGCCGTTTCTCATTTCCTGTCTCAGCTCACCATCACGTCTCTTTCTGTCCAGTTTTCTGTCACTCAGATCGTTGCTTTCATATTCTTTCTTTTTTTATCACTTTGCTGTTTTCGTTGCTTCTCTTTCAGTCTCCTTCTGCCTCAGTTGACTTTCTCTCTCTTCATTCAGTCACTCTGTTGGCAAACGGCAAGTTGTTTTGAAGGTTCATTTTGAAGCTACTTTCCCCTTTCGTCCACGAGTAATGAAATCATTTCTTCCTCTCTCACACAGTTTTGTACGACAAGGAGAGAGTTTTGTTTTCAACCAACTCTGGGAAGACAAAACATTCAGTTTGTTAAAAACAGCTACATCATCATTATCATTATCTTCATCATCTGTATCTCCCCCCGTCCCTCGTTCATTGGAGGCCTTTATCTTCCACTCTCCATCTCTCTGCTATCGAGCTCGTTCCGATTGACTCCAGACAATTTAAATTCCATTTGGGCTTTCTCGTTTGAATTCATGCAGGACGCCTCATTGGTGATAAACATTTAGCGAGGGACAGGTTAAACAAATCCAGAACGTGGGGGGGGGGGGGGGGGGGGGGTTAGAGGAACGTAACTCAACTGTGCAGATATGGAGAGTTGAAGCAGTTGCATGATGGGATTGAGCAGGGTTGGATGCTGATCGTTGAACACTCGTGTTCTGGGAAACATGCAAAACACACACATACACACACACACACACACACACACACACACACACACATACACATGGGCTAATGAAAAAATCTCGCTTCAGTCTCTCTAATCTACTTTGAAGATGTGGACTCGTTTCGTCATGCTCCCTCACTCAGCCATTTTAAATCTCTCTCCCTCTGCAACATGTGAGAGTCTCTCCATCTCTTTTCTTTCTGTCTGGCTCTCTCGTCCTTCTCCGTCTCCCGTCTTCGCTCACATTTTCTCTCCCCTCCCTTTCTTATGTTTTTCCACATTTTGCTTCCCTCTTTCCTTTGTCTCTAATCTCCTCGTTCTCTTCTCAGCCTCCCTTGCTTTCCCTCTCAGACTTCATCCACACTAATCCTGAAACACCTGAACAACAGAGAGAAAACAAACTGCTAAATCTCTTCTTCTTTGTCGTCAAAATAGTTGATCACAGCCAACGTTGTTACTCTGCAGAGTCTCTGTTGGTTGAACCTCCGTTCAGTCCGGCTCTCGTTCACATTGTAATGTTTTAACAGCTTCTGATTTAATAAGAGATTCAAGGATTCATACGTCACATACTCATATTTTTGGGAGGTTCTCCGCTTGGTCACTTTGACTGCAGTCACTGTAGTGATGATGTCGTTGGCTGGCGTTGCTATGACGCTTGTCACTTCTTCCACATATTTGTGTATGAAATGTAATTACAGGTCATGAATGCTATTAGCCAACATGAACTCGTGCTCTGCTGCACTGATGAAAGCACTGAAATCACTGACTTGTTGCAAGTTGTGCACAGACTGTAGATAAGAAGAGGACGTAGTCGTGGTGACGTCTCTCATTGGTTTGTGGACAGATGTTTTGAAGCCTCGAGTTCGCCGATTTGGCCGTCGCCATGTTGGTGTTTTTTGCAACCAATGAACAGAAGTTAACGTATTTGGAACTCATGTTTACAATGTTTACTGAGGTAATAAATCAAGAGAGAAGTAGAGTCATTTTCTCATAGACTTCTATACAACCAGAGGAGTCGCCCCCTGGTGGACACTAGAGAGAATGCAAGTTGCCGCCTTGTGTGTTTTTGGAGCAGCTGCATGTTGACTGTCAGCGGTGAGGTTTGAATTCCTGAATGTTTTTTTTTGTTACAGGCTGAGGTTGTAATAAATGACCGTTAAAATGTGTTAAAACCAGGACTGAACATCTGAAATGCAGGATATGATGATATGCTGTCTATTATATGCTTTTGATTGTAGAAGTAATGTCCTGCAGGTGGCGGTACAGGCAGCCAGCAGACCATTCTCCATGAGGAGCAGTGGAAGATGCCGGCTCTGCCAGCACTGCTGCTGTCGATTTACGTCGCCGTCCTGCTGCTGACCATGGCACCGCTCTCCTTCAGCCGGGCCAACATCCTCTCTGCTGTCCGGATGGGTGAGTACTTGGTACTTGATTGGACCTCATTGGCCACGACTTAGATCTTGAGTGGGGCCTGCTGGTCTGGACATGGAACTTGTTAGTCTGGACTTGGAACATGTTGGTCTTGACTTAGAAGTTGTTGGTCTCTATTTGGAACTTGAAGGGACTTGTTGGTCTGGACTTGGAGATTGATTGGAGCTCCTTGAAACTTGTTGGTCTGGACTTAAAACTGTATTGTAACTAGATGGTCTGGACTTGGAACTTGATTAGGAGTTGTTGGTCTTGACCTTAAAACCTGACTTGGGACTTGATTAGGACTCCTCATACAGAGGATTGAGACACAATAATTGCACATATGGCGAAAACATAGCACACTTTGACACAATCTCTTGAAAAATGGTCATATGGTTGAACTCCATAGTTACCACCAAAACTGAGAGAAGAGTCTAGTTTCTCACCTCCACACAGCTGGCCAATCACTGCCAGGAAATGGCTCTGGTTGGCGGTTTCCAAATGTTATGAAAATAGTTGGATGCAGCCGCCAGTTGGGGCAAAGGAAAAACTTATCTGGATGCAAATATTACGGCAAAGCTCCTGGTAGAAATGTCATTATTTACCCAGAATCCTATTTTCTCCATGAGTGAAAACACACATAAGCACATTGCTCATATTAATCACCCTCTCACTCTCCTGTTGGAACGTGTTAGCAAATACAAACGCACTCTTCCTCTGCTCCTCCCTCACTCGTTACTCCTCGGTTTTGTTGTTTTTGTATTGCTGTCCCCTTGTGTTTCCTTGTACTTTTGTTGTGTCTTCTCACCTCCTACTGCTGTCTCTGTTTGCCATCTTGATTCCTCTCACACTGTCTCTTTGCTTTGTTTGTCTCTTTACAAGCCCCTCGAGGCTTCCCTTTGTTGCCGCCGCTCGCTCACTCCTCGTTTCCTTTTCTTCTTCTTCTTCTTCTTCTTCTTCTTCCCTCCTCGGTTTTTTTTCCATCCCGGGTTGAATCACTTGTAAGCGCAAATGCACTCGAAAGAATACTGGATCAGGGAGCGTCTCCGTGACTTCCCTTCGTGATTAATGGCGAGGCCCGAGCTCCACTCTGCTATCAGCACCTCTTACTTACGTCCTCGTTGTGCTCCGCAGGGGAAGATTAGCTCTAATAAAAACAGGGACTTAACATTGAAAGTAAAATTTCAGCTGTCTTCACAGCAGATAAGGTTTCTTTTCCCTGTTCATCCCTCAGCCCTGATGGCCACGAGTTCAAATCCCTGTTGCTTTCATCAGGCGGGGGGCACTTACATGCAAGCTACCATGGCAACCGGGTGTCCTAGTGATGTATAATGGCCGACCGTCTACTCCTCTATTAATAACAGCTGACTGCTCCACACACACACACACACACACGCACACACACACACACACACACACACACAGGGAAACACACTCTTTATTTCATGCCTGATGAGTGGAGTTATATGAAAATAACAGAAGTCACACTCTGACTGAAATCAGCTGCACGGAGGAACATAGAGATTCCAGTCTCACAATCTATTCATGAAGCAGTCAAAATGTAAACATTTCATACACAAGTTTGAAGAAAAGGCTAATTTTTGTATTTCTTAATGTCAACTAATCCCCTAAATAAATACTTTAAGTTGTTCCTGTGGCTCTCGGCTCCAAGCCCATTGGTTCTTAGAGAAGATGTAAATATTAACTGGTCACTGTTTTATAAAACAAACAGAAGAACTACTTTTAGCAGCGGATTAATCCACATTTGGTGATCCTGAGAGTATTTTGGGGCGGTGGTTTGTCTTTAATAATCTTTTTAAATCGATAGTTTTCTCAAGGCGGTTTTGTATGGACATGTAATGTAATAACCTAATAACGTAATAACTCACTAAATGAAGTAGATATTTTACATGAAGGTTGTTGGTTTGACATCTTTTTTTTCAATTTTTCAAACAGAAAAATTGAGGTAAAAATGTATTGTTTTTTGAGACCAATCAGAAGTCAGAATGTCTGTTTGTTTGAATTCAGGAACGTGAATGTTTCCTTTCAGCTGCATTTCTCTCTCCAGTCGATGGAAAATTAATTCTGTTCAACTCTGACACGCTCAGCTGTAAACAAATTTTCAAGGTTCACTATTCAGTAGCTGTGAAATGAAAAGGACTGTGTGGAAGTGTTTCTATCATCCGAGGACTCAGGTGATGGTGGATACTGCCAGCAGGCAAATGCTGGTACAGTTTGTCCTGCAGATGATGGTTTGAATCCTTAGAGGCACGTTTGGAGGGCATTGGTACACAAACTGCACTCCAATTATATCAGAGGGGACACCCAACAATCTCTCTATTCACCCGACATAGGAACAACACCTGTATACCTGAACAAAGTTCAAAAACAGCCAAAGACACTAACTGCATTCTTGCAACAAAGGAGCGAACCTGTGGATCCTAGTTACAAAACCATTTGGTAGAAAATGTGAAGTGTTTCGGGGACCTCGTCGTTGTTCTTCAAAAACAAAAGCCGAGTAATTATGAACCAGCACTTCACACGAGCAGCAATCAAATCACAAAAGCAAGAATGACTCGGCTGTAATTATCAATCACATAAGTCTAACAAGCAGATTAATCTCCGTCATGCTGAGAAGCGACCCACATGAGATCAGGCGGTGACTGTAATTAGAGCAACTCTTGTGTTATTGTTGTCGGTCTCCGGCCGAGCTGCCACGCCGGCTCACAGGTCAATAATTCCCAAAAGGCAATTAGTGTTCAGAGAAGCTGATGCCAGAAGAGAAACAAACAGCAGTTAGTCTGTGGTGTCAGGAAGCATCCGGACAAGTTGCCACTGCAGAGAAACCGCAGACTCAAAGTAGATTCAAAGTGTTCAGTGACACAAAGATGAAAAGTTTGTCATCGATTAAGTCGGGTCTGAAAGTCCAAACTTATCTCAATTTCAACGAAACTAAGAATCTACAGTTAGAAAAGATAAGATAAGATAAGATGACACCAGTATTAAAACCAGTACCCTTAAAGTGACACCAATAGATTACTTTCTCGGGTACCCATCATGTGAATGGAAGCTGTGTGTGTGTCCCATTGGTTCAGGCTGGTCTCATCCAGCAGTCGTAGCAATTGCAAAAATGGTAATGCGCCGTAATTCATAGATGTCCCACAAAAGGATTTTGTATGTTATCCGTGTAATCATGAATGAGGAAGTATAAAGACCACAGAGGTGGAAGAGTCAACGAACCGCGATCTTTCCTCCAGACGACGGCTGTTCGGTCCTCATGTGAAACGAAAAGACAGTGTGGGTTTGTTGCCTAAACCTAACGAAGTATTTTAAGATCTTTTTCTAAACCTAACGAAGTATTTACGATCTTTTCCTTAACTTAACGAAGTATTTACGATCTTTTCCTTAACTTAACGAAGTATTTACGATCTTTTCCTTAACTTAACGAAGTATATTTAAGATATTTTCCTTAACTTAACGAAGTATTTACGATCTTTTCCTTAACTTAACGAAGTATTTACGATCTTTTCCTTAACTTAACGAAGTATTTACGATCTTTTCCTTAACTTAACGAAGTATTTTAAGATCTTTTCCTAAACTTAACGAAGTATTTACGATCTTTTCCTTAAGTTAACGAAGTATTTTAAGATCTTTTCCTAAACTTAACGAAGTATTTTAAGATCTTTTCCTTAACTTAAAAAAGTATTTTAAGATCTTTTCCTTAACTTAACGAAGTATTTTAAGATCTTTTCCTAAATTTAACGAAGTATTTTAAGATCTTTTTCTAAACCTAACGAAGTATTTTAAGATCTTTTCCTAAACTTAACGAAGTATTTTAAGATCTTTTCCTTAACTTAAAAAAGTATTTTAAGATCTTTTCCTTAACTTAACRAAGTATTTTWAGATCTTTTCCTTAACTTAACTAAGTATTTTAAGATCTTTTCCTGAATTTAACAAAGTATTTTAAGATATTTTCCTTAACTTAACGAAGTATTTTAAGATCTTTTCCTTAACTTAAAAAAGTATTTTAAGATATTTTCCTTAATTTAACAAAGTATTTTAAGATATTTTCCTTAACTTAACGAAGTATTTTAAGATCTTTTCCTTAACTTAACTAAGTATTTTAAGATCTTTTTCTAAACCTAACGAAGTATTTTAAGATCTTTTCCTAAACTTAACGAAGTATTTTAAGATCTTTTCCTTAACTTAAAAAAGTATTTTAAGATCTTTTCCTTAACTTAACGAAGTATTTTTAGATCTTTTCCTTAACTTAACTAAGTATTTTAAGATCTTTTCCTGAATTTAACAAAGTATTTTAAGATATTTTCCTTAACTTAACGAAGTATTTTAAGATCTTTTCCTTAACTTAAAAAAGTATTTTAAGATATTTTCCTTAATTTAACAAAGTATTTCAAGATATTTTCCTTAACTTAAAAAAGTATTTTAAGATATTTTCCTTAATTTAAAAAAGTATTTTAAGATATTTTCCTTAACTTAAAAAAGTATTTTAAGATATTTCCTTAATTTAACAAAGTATTTTAAGATATTTTCCTTAACTTAACGAAGTATTTTAAGATCTTTTCCTTAACTTAACAAAGTATTTTAAGATCTTTTTCTAAACTTAACGAAGTATTTTAAGATCTTTTCCTTAACTTCAAAAAGTATTTTAAGATATTTTCCTTAATTTAACGAAGTATTTTAAGATCTTTTCCTAAACTTAACGAAGTATTTTAAGATCTTTTCCTTAACTTCAAAAAGTATTTTAAGATATTTTCCTTAATTTAACAAAGTATTTTAAGATATTTTCCTTAACTTAACGAAGTATTTTAAGATATTTTCCTTAATTTAACAAAGAATTTTAAGATATTTTCCTTAACTTAACGAAGTATTTTAAGATCTTTTCCTAAACTTAACGAAGTATTTTAAGATCTTTTCCTTAACTTAACGAAGTATTTTAAGATCTTTTTCTAAACCTAACTAAGTCATTTTTTTACCTAAAAGCT